TGAGAGTTATAACCAGAAACATAGTTATCCCTCGATTCTGATATTGCCCAAATTTGGAAACATGTAATATAGAAGGGCAAAACTTTAATTTCCGTGATATGCAATACGTTACATCCCACTAACTAGTACCTTAATACTTGAGTAATATAGCAGATAGTTGATCATTGACGTGCGTGGAATTTTTTTTCTTTTCCGTAATCTGTCAAACTGCCTCGAACTCACATGATCCTGCGTTTTTATTGCTGCCAAATAAAATAAACCAAATATCCATATCATTTCCCATTGCTTCACGCAGCTTCAGTCTTGATTGGGGTTACCACATCGCCTAACCAACAACCGAATTTTATTATGCACCTTTAGTCCAGTGAAATGAAAACAAGTGCAAAAGGAGATGTCAATCGGATAAGGTGGAATGTGCACGTAATCAAAATCAAAAAAGAATAGCCGACGCACTAATCGTATCAACATTAACCTCAGGATAGAGTGAACAAATGCTTGTATCATGATTCCATTCTATCAGTTACCGCGCAATATCGTCATTATCATTATCGTCATCGACGTATCGAGTGACAACAATACGATGCCAAACTTCAATTATTCCATTTACATTTACGTATAAAAAAAAGTAGGCTGCACGAAGCATAAAAGAGGGTCTCCGCAGCAACCATCTATATTAATTTTTGTCAACAATCGTAAAAATGCATATTATTTTATATTATTTATTTATTGCTTATTAGGCAATTTACTACTTATCAGGCTACTTTCAGATCTTTGGAAATAGTGCGCAAAATAATTTTAACATAATTTTAACGTTATCGCGTGACATCACTTGCACATGACGACTTGAACCATCGAGAGCCTCATTCATTCTCAAACCTGTCGCAGGCAGTAGCAGTGTGTGATCGAGATCTGATTAATCAAATGAATCAATCAATATTAAATATTCCTTTACCTCCCGTGATCAAAGGTCTTCTTGCTACAAATGCGGAGAAGACCAATAGAATAGTCTATCAGCTCTATCGGCAAGATCGCTCGACAAAGATCACAGGTTGGAATGATAAAATCATCCTATTAATAATATTAATAATTAACGGTCAATCGATTTGAGGGATTAAAATACGTGATCGATTAACTGATTGATTGATCGATGTAATAAACGTTGGATTAACATCTCAAGGAATCAACTCAATCTTCGAGATTTTAAAACTCCGTGATACCAACGTTTGGTTGGGTTTTGGTACATGTGAAGCACGAAATCATATTACCAAGTTTCGTGATTTTTCTGTGTTTCCTTAGATCATTTTAAGTTTTTTACTAGGTGACAGGATGCATTCTGACACTTTCGATTCCGCGCACAGCTTACAAGGATGCCGAGCGGCATCTTTTGGAGTTAACATGACTTCGTTCTGACACACTTCTCTCGAAAGAGTGGTTTTGTGAAATCGTGGCGCAGTTATTCAACAATTACGATTTCTTCGTTTGAACAATTGTGTCGAAGGAGTAACAAAAAGGGGAGACAACAATTAAATCCGACAATTATCGAATTCCTTAAAATACCAGTGATTGTTATTCCGAGACACTTGCAAGAATTTTTCATCACACCAACGCACTCGTCACATGTTTCTTATCTATATGTTATAAAAAAAATTTTTTTTTTTTACAGGAGTAAATGGTATTGTATTGTATCAGTAATGCCTTTCGGGACTTATTATGTTTTTCCTATTGACTTGCAGACATATTGTAATAGGTATTCACTTTTTATGTTCGGTGATTCTACTATCCGTCACCCTCTTTTTCTGATTTTCCTCAATTGAAATTTCCCAAAAAGAGCATAATTTCCTTTTTTTTTCCTCTTTACACTTAAAAAAATTAAGTGATTTTTAATTAATAATTTATGTGCCAACAAAAAAAACGTCCGGGCAACAAAACTGGCCAAAGAAGGATCGAATACGTATGAACAATCGAAAATAACAGTAATAATAGAAAAAAAAAAGTTTTTTCCTTTTTTTTTTTTTAAACATGTCGATATACGAGACCTTACGTATTTCGGAACCTTTGAAAAAAAAAAATGCTTAGTTTAAAATCCTGTCACTCTAGCCTAATATTTCAAAAAAAAAAATTTAAAAAAAAAAAAAAAAAAAAAGCGTCGCACATGAATTTTGCTAGTCTAAAAAATTTTTATTGTCCTGGACCGTCCATTTCTTTTATTTTTATTTTTATATTGTGTTCATGTTGATTTTAGGATTTCGCCCTGTATCAAGATGAACTGAGTCTGACTGAGTTTTTAAATATTATGTTTTATTTTAGTGTACAGCGAAAATTGTGTACCGCATAATATAAATAATTTTTTATATTGTAATAAAGCAAAAAAAAAAAGTGTCGATATTATATACTGCAGATGTTTGTATGTATGTATGTATGTACATGAAAAATTTTATACTTTGTTCCTTTTTTTTCTCTTTTGACCAAAAAAAAAAAAAAGGTTTTATAATCACTCGGTCATATAATAAACTATTCTACTACAGAAAACACACGTACACAAAAAAAACAACACAACATCAAACTCAGACACAAGAAAAAAAAAAAAAAGAGTACTCCCTATTTTCTTTTCTCAATAATAATAATACCAACTCTAAAAAAAAACTCTAAAAAACGCCTATTCATACATAATATCATTACCTATAACACATATTTAAACTACTACCACTCTGTAACCCGAAGTGGCACCCTCATTTCTGACTAATACTACCCCATACCCTTTCACCGAATTTTTCTCATAAAATAGCTTTGATACCCCACCCAAAAAAAAAAATCAACTTCGAAAAAAAAATTTCGTTTTTTTTTTTTTTTTTTCGGATTATATTCTTTTTTTTTCTATTTTTTTTTTTTAATAATAATACAGACAGCACGCAAAAAACATATATAAAGCTCAACCTTTTTTTTCTTTCTTCACTTACACTTCTTGCTCTTGGTCATTGATTGATCTAACAGTGGGAAATAGGAAACATTATTATCACTATTAGTCACCAGCAAACATAGAATATACAAAAAAGTATTTACTCTTTCGTAGTTAGAGAAACAACTCAACTCAACTCAAAAAAAAAAAAACACCAAAACCGAAAAAAGTTGCACACAACTTTCACCAAAAAGCTGAGAACACACACACACTTAATATAATCACTTGGTGAGTCTTATTTATTTATTTTCTTCGAATCTTTTGGTGAACCGAATAACGCTTTACGCTGGCTCGGCACATTTTCTCGCTGCCGGTCCGGTAAAGTTTCTCACTTTTGACACTCAACATTGACATTCGGTTTATCGGAATTAGTCGATTGATAATTTTGATTTTATTCACATATCCTATTCCATGTTCTAACTCTTTCGTTTCTTCCTCTAGCAATAACAGGATATCAAAAAAAATGGAGACCTACTACGGTTACGTTAAAACACCACAAGACGCCATCTTACTCTTCGAAGCATGCAGAACGGGCACTTTATCCCGTATACAAAGGAGATTGAGCGAAAAGGAAAGATCCTTAATCCGCTCGGGTTCCGTGTTCGTATGGGACGAACGTGAGGCTGGTATGCGAAGGTGGACCGACGGTAAAAGTTGGTCGGCCAGTCGTGTCAGTGGAAGCTTTCTGACCTACAGAGAACTCGAGTCAAAGCGTAAATCAAATTCTCGTGGTAGCAACAATCTCCACGATCTATCAAGTGAAGATACCGATTCAAGTGAGTCCTACCACTCCTCCACAAAGAAATCAATGTCCTCGTCGACCACGGAACAATGCCGATACAAACACGGAGGTCTCGTCAAACAATC